GTGTGTGTGTGTGTGTGTGTGTGTGTGTGTGTGTGTGTGTGTGTGTCTGAGGTTGATGTCTGCTGTCATTTGAGTACAGGCCAGAAAACACAACGGCTGGCAGCTTACCGGTGAGGTAACAAAAAAATGTCTGAAAGCATCACAGGCAAAGGTCCACAGCACTTCACTGGCAGTGAATATCTATCTTCCTTCCTTCCTTTCTTTCGTCTTCCCCTGACACTTTTCACTGTACTTTTTCAGTTGTTGTTGCACACTCACGACTCTCGTTTCCATTCTGACACGCTCTTTGTTCTGCCAATATCAAATTACGTATTCATCTGCATGATCTTTTATGTCCTGTGCCGTCATTTTGTCATCCGTTTTCTTGCTCTTTTGCTGCACTTTATCTCGCAATGTGATGAATTCATCACTTGCATCTCTCAAGGCTGTAGGGAACTACAGGAGCATGACATAACAGGTTCATGAAACATTTATGGAGAAGATGGCGAGGTTATACTCATGGGGGCTGACATATCTGCCTGCGTTTAAGTGTAGGAGGCCTTCGGTAAATACCTTTTGACAGCCTCAGCTAACCTAAATAATTTTCTCTTTTTTCCCTAAAAAAAAACATGGCAACAAAACGTAAAAAAAATAAATAAATAAAAATGCAAAAAGTCAATAAGGAGGGCTTACATTAGATCTGTGTACTGTTTGTGGGTGAAATAATCTAATAATTCTGCTTCATGTATTAGATTTACTATCTTCAAACTGCAAGAGTGGGAAGGAAAATTTACAACCCTACAAAAATGTAATTTTATTTTTGAATTTCCCTTTAAAAATTATAAATTACTCTGGCATATTGCTACTTTTTTGGCTTCATTCCCTGAGACCAAGTTCCTACAGCAGCATCAATAGCACTGTCTAGAGTCAACAGTGAGATGTTTTTATTTAATTTTTATGAAATGTTACCTGTTGCAGTGTTAATTACAAAATATATTTAGCACATTGTGCCAAAATTATATTTAAAAGAACATTAAAAGAAAAAAAAACTAAAAAAATAAGGTCTTCATCCAATTAGAAGGACAATATTCAACTGTACATATTGAACTTATGATTTGTTAACATTTAGTGAGTATCTGCATCCCAGACATGCAAACTGATATGTTGAAAAACTGGAGTAAACTCTTTTAAATGACAGGATGTCCTGTTTTATGTTGTGCACATGAGTATTTTAGATTAAATTGGATTCAATACAATTTATTTCAGTTCAATTTGAATCAATTTAGTTTTATTCTATTCTATTCTATTCTATTCTATTCTATTCTATTCTATTCTATTCTATTCTATTCTATTGTAATTGTCCTGACCTAGGAAGGAAAAGGTGAGGTCATGGCAACCAAGTAGTAAACTTGTTCTGGAAGACGTCACCTGTCATTGCAGTGAAGGGACCACATCAATGCCGTCAGTCAGTCTGAGATGCCAGCACATCTAACATGCAGCTGACATTGTGTGAAGGTGTGAATGTGTGTGTGTGTGTGCGCGCATGCCTGTGAATGACTGTGTGTGGCAGTGCGTCTCTGTTGGGGTACGGCTGCCTGTCTCTGCCTTCGCTCTGTTGCTCAGAGCGCTCCTGTTGACTCCTTGGTTGGTAAACAGAGGGATCGTAAATCCACAGCACAAAAAAAAAAGATGGAAGGCAGGGGAGAGGGAAGAGGGGAAATAGGAACTTCCCCTGGCAAGTTTCCGTCAGAGAAACAACAGACAGACCGCGGGAGAAGAAACGAAGGCAAAGACAAGGGGGATTTGAAATAAGACAAAAGTTTGTTCGGAGGAGAGATGAAGTGTCAGTTCTACTTCTTAATAT